ACCATCTGGCTCCGGCTGCCCCTCGGGGCTGACCCCAGCCACGGGTGGCTCCTCGCCCTCGCCACACTTGGCCATCTTCTGTGCCAGCATGCGCGCCGTCTCCTCCTCCAGCTGCCGGATGTCCTCCATCGTCAGGTCCGTCCACTCATCCTGCCAGCACCAGGCTTGGCGGTGGGCGCGCAGCATCACCTTCCTCAGGCCTGAGGGGAGAGTCCAGTGTGATCCCACGGCTGCTCAAAGGACCCTCCAGCAACCCCCGGGTCTGAACTCACCCACGTCATGGATGAACTGCTCGATCTTGGACTGCATCCCCCAGTATCGGAACTCCACCTTGCAGAGCTTGTAGGCGCACATGAGGGGCCCGCTGGCTGCTGCTGCCTCCAGCCAGTCATCCCCCAGCGGCCCCCGGCCCGTCTTGGATGAGTGGTAGAGTTTGGGATCCTCCTCAGGTTTGTATTCCCCGGGGGAGATGGGATCACGCACAATGTCAATGGTGTCTGTGGGGGGAACGGCGCTTGTCACCCCGCAGCACTTGGCAAGGGGGCATAGGTAGGAAAATAAGGAAAAAGGGACAAAATTAAGGTCAAATTATTCCCATGAGACATGCACCCAACACAGCTGGCAGCAAACACTCTCTGTCTGAGAATTCTAAAATCTTGGAGTTCTGGAATCATAGAAACCTGGAATAGCTTTGGTTGGAAGGGACCTTAGAGTTCATCTCATTCCACCCCTTGCCATGGACAGGGACACCTTCCACTATCCCAGGCTGCTGTAAGCCCCATCCAACCTGGCCTTGGACACTTCCAGGGATGGAGCACCCACAGTTTTTCTGGGCACCATGTGTCAGGGCCTCACCACTCTCAAAGGCAAGAATTTCCTAATAGAACATATAAAATCCCATGGCTGGAACATCACAAACACCCTTAGTGCAGCCAAAGACATCTCTGTCCCCATGTGGGACCCCAATCCAGCACCTCAGGGAGCAGCACAGGGAGGGAGGGTCTGGGAGCTGGGGAGAGCTGGGGCTGACACACATACGTGCATTAGCTGGCAGATCTGGCAGCTGCAGAGTGATCCCAGCCACCCTGGGGGACATGGGGGATGAGGACGGGGACAGCACATGGGGCAGCTTGGCACAGTTCCTGGCTCCTCCCCAAAAAAGTCCAAGAGTCCCCCATAAACAAGGCACAGCAAAACCACCATGTGACACAGGAGCCTCCAGAGAGCCAGAGGGCAGGGGGAAAGAGAAATGAGCCCCATCTCCTGACAAAGATGACCTTTCCCAATGAGGATGAGCTTCCCCCAAATGAGGATGACCTCCCAAGACCAGAGAAAGGCTCCTGAAGGACACCCAGGAAAACACGATCCAACAGCCGTTTGGGCTCGATCCAGCACAAAATCTGCTAGAATTTGGCATTTCCAGCCCTGTCTCCAGATCATGGTCTGGGGGATCCCACGGCACCCCAGTGGCTCCCAGTACCATCCTGCAGCACTGTCCCCACTTCTAGGATGTGCCAAACCAATTTATTTGCCCTCCTTGATGCCCCCAAGGTGCTGTCAGCCTCTCTTCCTCCAGCTTGGACTGAAAAAAGGGGTAAAAAGAAAACTAGAGATGCCCTGAATCCACAAAAATGATGCAATGCACAGCATGATGCCAAGCATCTTGGATAACAGCAGCAAAGAGCTGGGATAGGACCTGCTGTCCCCAAGCAGCTCCTGGCAGTGTCATTCCCATCACAATCCAACTCCCTCTGCTTTTGCCACTGGGAGAAAGCTGCCAAAGAAGCAGTTATCCCTGCGGATCACTCAGACCATGTTTTTCCATTGCCCTTTGAAACGTGAGAGGGGTTTAAATCTGTCAGTGCTACAAGACACCAGGGCAGAGAAATCCCAGTGGGATCCACACTGGGGCTGGTCCCACTTCAACCCTCCTCCCTGTGGAAGGCAGCAGCCACTGGAGATGCTGAGTGCCCTGTGGAATGTCCACTGGACGGGCACAGAGAGTGGAAAACCAGGCAGTGGGCACGGGGCCATGCCCTGATGCCGTTTGCTTGGCCCTGATGGCTTCCTGAGGGCAGTAGGGGCAGAATTCCTGCCCCCAGGTCCCAGCCATCGGTATCCCGGCCGGACATCCCCAGTGCCGCAAGAGCCAGGGAGAGAAATAGGTCAGATGAATCATTTCCTCCGAGTGCCTATTTTGGGCCTCCATTTTAAGAGGCAGCACGTCACACTCCACACTCTGGCGCCTGAACTGACCATGTCCAACACCACTGAGAATGGGAACTCTGTGCAGAGGGAAGAATCCCACCCCGAGCTCCCCGTTCTGCCCACCAGTCCCAGCACAAAGCAGCCAGACGGCAAACTGGAGCAAAGCCCTGGGGAGAGGGGAAGCAGGACAAGAAGTAGGAAAATGGGGACATGCTTTTCCAGCTCTCCCTGCTCCAGCTGATCCAAAATATCCCACAGGACCCAGGTGTGGAGTCTCATGTACACTTTCCCAGGAGAGACTGAGAAAGCAAATGCATGCAAGAACAAGGCTGGGACACGGAAGGAGAGGGGAGTAGGTTGGCACTGGAAAGGAGAAGCTGCAAACAGAAATAGAGGCAAGGGAAGAGGCAGAGGACAAAACTGTCCCTGAAAATATCTTTAATGTGGAACTTAATTCAGCAGCGCTGAGAGGGAGCGGGCAGGGAGCTCGGAGCAGGGAGCCTGGGGCAGGGAGCTCAGGATCCAGGGAGCTCTTCCCTTCCAGCATCCGTGAAACATGAGGACTGGCAAGAAGAGGGCAGTTGAGCCCCTAAGGTCCCCATTATAAGGTCCCATTCCCACACACCCATCCCAGAAGCATTATGTGGGAATCCCAGCAGCCACAGTGCCCTGTCCAGCTCCCCAAGCCAGCCATACCCACCCAAAATCCTCTGCCTCTTCTCCGCAGCGCTCAGGTTGAAGATGTTGGTCTGCTGCCCCGCATCTGGGCGGTAGTATGTCTCAATTTCAATGGAAAACTTCTCCACGAAGGGACACGTGTACCTGGAGGGGCACAGGACTGAGCCTATGGGCACGGCCAGTCCTGCAGCCCACCCCGCCGCCTCCCAGCTCCCACCTGGTGCGTGTGTAGGGATAAGCATTCCAGGACTCCTCCTCCACCTGGAGCGCGGCTTTGGGGAGCAGCGCCCGGAACCAGCTGGGGATGTGGGAGCCAACGTGGTAGATCTTGTGGGTGTACTGCCCGCTGCCCCCAGGGCCATCGCTGTAGGGCCGGTTGGCCAGGATCTCCACGCCGCTGCCCTCGCCACTCGACTCCTCCCGGCTCTTCTTCTGCACAGAGACGATGGCTCAGTGCGGCCCCTCCAAGCCCCGAGACCCCACCCCCACGGGCGCCCAGGGTCCGTGTACACTCCTGCCCCATGTGTCGGCATCCACCGGCCCCACACCTGCCCACAGCACCCCCTGCTTGGCTCGGTGGTCCCAAACCCACCCGAAGCCTCAGTGAAACCCGTGCAACCTGCAAGGGTGATCCCTTGGGATCAGCCTCAGCTCCCCGCCATGCCCCTCCAGGCTCAGCCCGACAGCTCCCCATACTCTGCCCCACAGCCCCCTTACACCCTCCAGCACCCCATGCTCAGCCTCATAGTCCCCTGTGCACCCTCAGGCTCAGCCCCTACATCCCTCATGCCGCCCTCTACACCCACAGCCCTCTACACCCCTCAGGCTACACTCTCCAGCCTCTCCCAGCCTCCTGCACCCCCTCAGTCACAGTGCCCAGATCCCTGCACCCCTCCAGCTCCCCATGCCCAGCCCCACAGCTCTGTGCACCCCCTCAGGCTCGGCCCTAGGTCCCCACACCCCTCAGGCTCAGCCCCACAAGACCCGTGTAACCCCCGGGCTCACCCCCCAACCCCTGCATCCCCAGCTCCCCCGCTTAGCCTGCAGCTCCCCCGAGCCCTCAGGCTCAGCCCCGCATTCCCACCTGGATCATGTACAGCTGGGCCACCTGGTACTCCTCCAGGCTCATGGGCAGCAGGATGTGGTACTCCTTGATCAGCATGGCGGCGGCGGGGCACAGCGGGGGCACCTCCTGAGGGGGTTTCCGTTACACCGGACCGGGCCGGCTCCTGGACAGCTCGGGCCGGTTCGGCACCCCTTCAGAACCGCTCGGGCACGCTCAGCTCAGCCCGGTACGGGGTTCGGCCCGTCTCGGAGCCGCTCCGTCCCCGGGTTCGGCTGAGTCGGTATCGCTCGGCTCCGGGTTCGGTTCAGTCCGGTATCGCTCGGCTGCGCTCGGTCCCGGGTTCGACCCGGCTCGGCACCACGCTCGGCTGAGTTCGGTACCGCCCGGCACCGCTCGGCCCCAGGTTCGGCCCGGCTCGGAAAAGCCCGGCCTCGGGTTCGGCGGAGTCTGGTACCGCTCGGCTCCCGGTTCGGTTCAGTCTGGTACCGCTCGGCCACCCTCGGCCCCGGGTTCGGCCCGGCTCAGTCCCACGTTCGGCTCAGTCCGGTACCGCTCGGCCCCTCTCGGCCCCGGGTTCGGCCCGGCTCGGCCCCACTGGTCTCGGCTCCGTTGCCATGGCAACGCGGCCCCCTCCACTCCCCCCCGCCCGCCCGCCCGCCCGGTCCCCGCCGCCCCCCGGCCCCACCAAACCTGCGCCGCTCCGCACCGGCCCCTTGGATCGTGACATCACAGCCCGTTCCCACGGCGACAGCCGTGACGTAGGGAGGTGAGGGGGGGGCCCGTGACGTCAGAGAGCGGAAGGCAGCGAGCGCCACTCACGGGCGCTCCGCGTGTACCGGCACCACCGCCCCCGGAAAAACCCATGTTTTATTTCAAAAGCCACTCTTTTAAGTGATCAACGAGTGGTCCGATCACTCCTGCACTCTCAGCTCCGGGACACCCACCCAGCGCGTCTCCAAACACCCACCCAGCGCGACTCCCCCACCTCTACCCCGCGTCCCACCATCCCCATCGGGACCCACCCTCGCGGGGACACACCGAGGCCAAGTCCCAACATTGTCCTTTATTTATAAAAACACGCATTTATAAAGAGCGGAGAGCGCGGGGAGGGGGGGCTCGGGCAGCACGGCGGCCCCCCCGCCCCCGCCGCCACCACCGGGAGGTCCCGGGGGCTCCCGGGTGGCAGCTGCCGTTACGTGCGGGCGTTTCGCTCTGTCTCTGCCAGGCACTCCCTGACTAGCGCCCGGGCGTGGATGATCCCTGCGGGGAGAAGCACAGGGACACCTCGTATCACCCTCCAGTGGCTCCCCACGGGGCTGAGGAGCCTCGGGGGCGCCCGGTTCCCCACCCTGCCCCTACCCCGCTTCAGCCGCTCCATGGCGCTCTTGCTGCCGGCGTAGGTGGGCCGGATCTCCTTCCCCATCTCTTCGATGACCGAGAGCAGGTCCGTGTAGGTGCTCTGCGAGCCCTGCGCCCCGGGGGGCTTCATGGCCTGCGGGAACAGGGGGACAAGCAGGGACGGAGGGGCTGGGGGCCGCCCCCGCCGCCGCGCCCGGCCCCGGCGGCCCCGGCGCCGCGCCTCACCTGCACGTAGCCCATGGACGGCGGCCCGAAGTCATTGAAGAGCGGCCGGAAAGGGGCGGCGGCGCCAGGGACGGAACCGGAGGGCGACGGGACACTCGTGGCTGCGAGAAACTGAGGGTCACGGCCGCACTCCCTCTTCCTCGGTACCACCCTCATCCGGTACCATCCCTTCCCAGGGTACTCCCCTTCCATCCCCTCTCCGCTCCCGGTGCCCCCCGTCCCCCACGGTTACCGCGGCGTTCTCTCACCGGCGGACGGTGCCCCGGGCCCCGGCGGGGCGGGGCTGGCGCTGGCGGCTCCGGGGGTAGCGGGGGCGGGAGCGATGGGCTTGTAGGACATCCCCGACTGCCGCCCGCCGCTCCCGGATCCCTGGAGCCCCGCGGCGGGGGTCGGCGTGCGGCCCCCGCGCTCGCCCCGCCGGTTGTATCGCCGGTGCCCGCCTCTCTTCAGCTCAGCTCGGCCCCGCTCGGCCCGGCGGGAAGCCGGGAACCGGAGCGGAGCGCGGCGGCCCCGGTTCCCGGTAGCGCTGCGCGGCCCCGGCCTGACCCGGGTCTCTCCCCCCCTCCGCCGCCGGCGCTCGCGGTGATGACGCAGGCGCGTCACGAGCGCGACGTCATCACGCCGCCGCGCGCCCGCCGGCCGGTCACCGTGGAGACACGCGGCGTCGGCCCCGCCCCCTCGGTGCCTATCCGACCACGTGACTCATGTGCAGGCCACGCCCCCTCGCTCGGCGGGGGCCTCTCTCGGTGTCACGTGAGCGACGGGCGCCGCCGCCTCGGGGGCGCGGGGGGGCACCGGGAGCGGCACCGCCACGCTCCCCCCGCCGCCGAGGGCCCCCGTGTCACCCCACAGCCCCGAGCCGCACCGGTCAGGGCGTTCCGACTCTCCGCGGGAGTGAACCCGGGCCCGGACTTTGGGGAACCCGCCCCACCCGCCGGCCGTGCATTCCCCGGAGCCCTGTGCCCGCGGTCCCGGCTCCCTAGGGGGCTCCCGTGAGACACAGTGGGAGTCCAGGGTTTTGGGGGATACCAGTGGACGGCACGATCACGAATAAACTCTGGAAACAACATAAAACACAAGCCAAAAGTCTGTACAGAGAGTTTTATCATTTCAAAAGGGCAAAATTGGCCCCAAAACTGCAGCCAGGGCAGAGAGGGTACCTACAGCAGCCCTGCCTGCAGCTGGCTGAGGCCCTTCCACCCAGTAATGCTTTATTTCTTCCCCCGGAGGCTCTCCTGGCTGGGCTGCCAGGAGTCTCCCCTGTGCTAGGGGCTGCCAGAACATCCATGAGGGTCTGTGCCAGCCCCAAAAGGGGAGGGATGCCTCACCCTAGGCGGGTCTGGGGTGGGTCTGACCTCAAACCATGGTGACGGGATGGGTTATGCTGTGCAGTCTGCAATAAACCTGGTGTGGGGTGAGCCTGAGGGGCTCAGTGCGGCACACAGAGTGGGAATGGAGGCTGGAGGGATGAGCAGCAGGGGTGAGGAAGAGCTGAAGGAGAGGGGACCACGATGGTGGGAGTTTTAGGGTGAGGTCCGGGTGGGAAGGGCGATGATGCAGGGAGAGAACAGAGATGAGGGTGAGAGTAATCGAAGCTCAGCCAAGCCTGTGCAGAAAGGGGTCCCGAATTCGGCCCCGGTGCCTCCCGCCACGGTCAGAGCTCAGCATCAGAGCTGCCCCAGCACCCAGCCTCACCCTGGGCACGGGCACCGCTGCGCCAGCACTGCCCCAGTCCCTGGAGCTGGGGGTCCCTCCGTGGCTCCCTCGTCTTCGTAAGGCACGGGGGGCTTGGGTCCCGCGTTGGCACACGCTGCCCTCAGCGCGACATCATCCGCACAAACTCTGCCGTGGGGGGGAAACACACCTGGAACATCCCAGCTGTCCCTGGGAGCGCTCCTGGCCCCTTCCCTGCTCCTACCTTCGAAGTCCACCAGGCCATCACCATTGAGATCCACGTCCTTGAGGATCTCATCCACCTCCCGATAGTTGAGCTGCTGCCCCAGGAGCTTGCGCATGGCCTCCCGCAGCTCCGCCATGCTGATCTGTCCGTCCCCATTGGTGTCAAACTACGGACAAGGTCCCGTTGCCACCGGCCACCCTGGCACGCTGACAGCCTACCTGTCTGTCCCCACAGCCCCCGTACCTCACGGAAGGCGTCACGCAGCTCCTTGATCCCAATCATATCCGCCGTCTCCGCCAGCATCTTGGGGCCCATCAGCTCCACGAAATCATCAAAATCCACCTTGCCCCCAGCTGTGGCAGGAGAGGGGTGTCAGGGGGGCAGGGGTAGGGACTGATGGGCACCTGCTGCCCCACCACATACTGATCTGCTGGGACAGCTCGATGAGCTCCATCTCTGTGGGCATGTAGCCCATGGTCCGCATGCACTCGCCCAGGTCCTTGTAGCTGATGTAGCCGTCATGGTCCTTGTCGAACTCCCGGAATGCCTGCTTCAGCTCTGGGGACACCGCAGCGTCACCACCAGCACCACCACCCACCCGAGCGGGACCCCCTCCCCAGCAGCTCACCTTCGATCTCCTCGGGCCGCAGCTCCCGGTCCTGGGGAAGAGAGAATGGGAAGATATGAAGGAGGGGTCCTGCTCCCGGGGATCCCACGGGGATTCTGCCCTGAGCCCCCCGGGAGCACACGGGGAGGGGAGGGGACGGTGGCGTACCCGTTGGGTGATGGCGATGCTCTGCCGCAGGAAGATGCAGGCCGGCCCCACCAGCCCCTGGAGCACCGAGTATCCCTGCATCGGGGGGGTCTGCGCCGCGTCCAGCACGTCCTCAGGGTCCCCTGCGCCGGAGCCTGGAGCGCCCGAGCGTGGCTTCCCATCCTGCGGGTGGAGCAGGCGTCAGCGGCGAGGGGGGGGGGCGAGCAGGGACCCTCCCTTCCTCCTCCTCCTGCCCCGCGGGTTGTCGCAGCCTTGCCGTGCCTTGGGGAGCCGCCGCTCAGGGGTCTTGGTGCAGTTGCCCATGGCTGGGGGCTGCCCCCGCGCCGCAGGACATGCCTGGCCCCGGGGGGGCTGGCTGGCGCAGACCGCGGGGCTGCCACCGGGGATTTGAGGTTTTTATGGAATATCTGGGGATATGCAGGGCAGGCGCGGGGGGGTGGGTGCCGCGCCCGCGTGCATAATCCTCCGGATTATTCCCCGCTCGGCCGCCCTGCTCCAGATGTGGGCAGCCACCCAGCTGTTCCCCAGTCCCGCAGCCTCCCTGCGAAGGCACGCAGCACCCGCGGCACCCACCGCGCCCTGGGCCCGTCCCCGCAGCCGGTTACCTGCCCAAAAGCGGGGGGCGGCCGGGGCCCCGGCTCCTCGGCAGCCCGCTGAAGCTCCACGGGGGACGCAGCACTACGGCTTAATCTCCCCTGGCTGCCCGCAGTGCCGGCGGTGCCGGGACCCCTGAGCCGAGGGGCCGGGCGGGAGCCGCGGGCCCCCCTCCGGCCGAGGCCGTGGCGCCGGGGGGTGCCCCGGCAGGCGGGGGGCGCGGGGCTGCTAGTGCCGCGCCGCTGCGGCCCGCGGAAGAGGAAGAACATCCCGCCCGCTCCTGCTCCTTCTCCTTCTCCCCACGACCGGGACCGAGCAGGAGGAAACCAGATCGCCCCGGACCCGCGCCCGTCCCTCGCAGGGACGAGGCCACCGCCGTCCCCGGGACCCGCCGCGGAGCGCAAGAGATCGGGTGGAGCGCAGCGACCCCCCGGGGCGCTGGGGGGGGAGCGGGGCGCCCCGGGGGGCTCCAGCGGGGGCGGACGGGGGGCTCCGGTTTCAGCGCCGAAACCCGACCCGGGCCGGGCGCGGGGCACGTGCCAGCGCGCCAACAGCCAGGCCACGCCCCCTCGGCGCCGCGAGCCCGCCTTGTGACCGCGCCCCCCGCTCCGGCCCCGCCCTCTCCGCGCGGCCCCGCCCCAAACCTACCCTGGTCCGGCCTCTCTCGTGGCGTCACTGCAGCGCCGCCGGCGCTCCCCCTGACGTCACCGGGGGGCGGCTGAAGGTGACGGTGGTGGGTCCTGGTGCCGGTGTCCCCCGCCATGGCCGGCAGGCAGCTCCTGGCGCTGCGGCGCCTGCCCGCCGCCTCCTTCTCGGTAAGCGGGGACGGGGCGGGGAGCGCCGGGACCGTGCGGTACCGCTCCCGGTGTTCCCGGCGCTGAATCCGTGTGTCCCCGCAGACGGCGCCCAAGAAGACGCAATTCGGGTCGCTGCGGGATGAGGACCGGATCTTCACCAACCTCTACGGGCGGCACGACTGGCGGTGAGTAGCGGGAGCAGCGTGGGGAGCGCCGGTGCCCCGTGCCCAGTGCCAGCGTGCCCGGTGCCACCGTGCCCGGTGCCCGCAGGCTGCGGGGCGCGCTGCGCCGCGGCGACTGGTACAAGACGAAGGAGATCCTGCTCAAGGGCGTGGACTGGATCCTCGGCGAGATCAAGACCTCGGGGCTGCGGGGCCGCGGCGGCGCCGGGTTCCCCACCGGGCTCAAGTGGAGCTTCATGAACAAACCCCCGGACGGGAGGTGAGAGCGGGACCGCCTACAGCTCCGGTACCGCGGCCCCGGCCTGCGGGGAGCCGGCCCCCTGACGGGAGCTGCCCGCAGACCCAAGTACCTGGTGGTGAACGCGGACGAGGGCGAGCCGGGCACCTGCAAGGACCGGGAGATCATGCGGCACGACCCGCACAAGCTGCTGGAGGGCTGCCTGGTGGCGGGGCGGGCCATGGGCGCCCGCGCCGCCTACATCTACATCCGCGGGGAGTTCTACAACGAGGCCTCCAACCTGCAGGTACAGGGAGAGCGCCCCACAGCCACCCCACACCGGCGGGGCTCGGGGCGCTCCGGGGCTCACCCCCTGCCCCCTGCAGGTGGCCATCCGCGAGGCCTACGAGGCCGGGCTGCTGGGCGGCGATGCCTGCGGGTCGGGATATGCCTTTGACGTGTTCGTGGTGCGCGGCGCCGGCGCCTACATCTGCGGGGAGGAGACGGCGCTCATCGAGTCCATCGAGGGCAAGCAGGGGAAACCCCGCCTCAAGCCCCCCTTCCCCGCTGACGTGGGTACGGCGCCACAGCTCTGTCCCGAGTTCCCAGCTGCCACCCCAAAACAACTGTCCCCAGGACACCGTCCTGCTGCAGGGACAACACCACAGGCAACACCACATCCATTAAGAGCTCCCACTGTTTCATAGAATGGTGTGGGTTGTAAGGGAGCTGTCTCATTCTACCCCGCTACCATGGGCCACATACCACAATCCCAGGTTGCTCCAAGCCCTGTTGAACTTGGCCTTGGACACTTCAGGGATGCAGCAGCCACAGCATCTTTGGGCCACTTTTGCCAGGGCATCACCACCCTCACAGGGAGGAATTTTTTCCTGATGTTTCCCCAGGTGTGTTCGGCTGCCCCACCACGGTGGCCAACGTGGAGACGGTATCGGTGGCCCCCACCATCTGCCGGCGCGGCGGCGCCTGGTTCGCCAGCTTCGGCCGGGAGCGGAATTCTGGCACCAAGCTCTTCAACATCTCAGGGCACGTCAACACGCCCTGCACGGTGGAGGAGGAGATGTCGGTGCCACTGAAGGAGCTCATCGAGAAACACGCCGGTGAGCGCTGCGCTGGGCCGGGCTGCAGCAGGGCCGGAGCTGCCTGTCCTGACCCTCCTCTTTGCAGGAGGCGTCCGCGGGGGCTGGGACAACCTGCTGGCCGTCATCCCGGGTGGCTCCTCCACACCACTGCTGCCCAAGTCTGTGTGTGAGACCGTGCTGATGGACTTCGATTCCCTGGTGCAGGCGCAGAGTGGGCTGGGCACGGCCGCCGTCATCGTCATGGATAAATCGGTGAGGGATGGGCTCCCCCGGCTCCCCCAGCCACGGTGGGACCCTCGCCTTCCTCACCCTCCCTCTCTTCCCAGACTGACATCGTCAAAGCCATCGCGCGCCTGATTGAGTTCTACAAGCACGAGAGCTGTGGGCAGTGCACCCCATGCCGGGAAGGTGAGTGGGGGCCGGGGCTGAGGGGCTGGGGGCTGCGGGGACTGCAGGGACCCATCCCCATCCCAATTCCTGCAGGCGTGGACTGGATGAACAAGGTGATGGCGCGGTTTGTGCGGGGTGACGCGCAGGCCGCCGAGATTGATGCGCTCTGGGAGATCAGCAAGCAGATTGAGGGACACACCATCTGCGCCCTGGGTGATGGTGCAGCCTGGCCCGTGCAGGTGAGGGGCCCGGAGGGTTGGAGGGGCCAGCAGCCTTCCCCAACACCATTAACCACTCCTCTGCTCCATGCAGGGCCTCATCCGCCACTTCCGCCCCGAGTTGGAGGAGAGGATGCGGCGCTACAACGAGGCCAAAGCCCAAGCGGCATCAGCGTAAGGATCCACCACCACGCGCCTCCCTCGTCCTGCTTGGAAGGGACGAGGAAGGGGTTTCTGGGGTGCTGGCAGCACTCAGAGGCTTCTCAATAAATGCTGCTGTGCTCCCAGGCTCTGCTGTGGACATTAAATAGTAGGAAGGGACTGACGGGGCAGAGGGCCTCAAGGTCCTGCTGCCCCTGGAGCATGAGATCACCAGGGATCATGGGGTCACACAGATGGAGCCTGAGGGGAGATCCTGGATTTCCATGAGGCTATGGGTGGGGCAGAGGCAATGGCTGTGGGGTACTAACAGACACAGTCCCCTCCTTGGGGACCCCACACTCCCTGTCCCCGCCGCAGTGGCACCAGGACTCCTCCTCCTGTGCCCGTGCCAAGGGACAGCTGTCCTAGCCCCAGTCCACAACTCAGAGCCCAGGGCAGTTCCAAACATGGCTTTTACTGAATCACAGTGTGCGACATCCCTGCTGGGCTCAGAGCCGTTTCCCCCATGCATGGTGGAGAACCGAGGCAGCCCAGAGCCGCCCCTGCCCGCTCAGGCCGGGGCTTTCCGGGGGGGCACGCGGGTCTTCCTGCGGTAGCGGCCGGGCACCAGCAGCTCCAGGGTCAGCTCGGTGATGATGGCCGTGAGCCCCCAGACCTTGTGGGGGCCGTTGAGGAATACGGGCAGGGTGTATCCGTAGCCGCTGGCCGTGCGGAAGTGGGTGTAGCCCTGGTTCTCCTCGCGGAGCAGGTGTGCCAGGGGCAGGGTGAACACCTCCTCCACCTGTCAACACAGACTGCCGTGACTGGAGTGGCTACCACGGGAAGGGGAGCAGCCCTGGGGAGGAGCCACTCACCTCATCAGGGTTGGGGTTCAGTGTCAAGGCCTCGAGTGACCCCAGGTTGGCCACGATGGGCGCCACGGTCATTCCATGCTGGAAGGTGTGTCAGCGAGGGACAGGGTGACACCCCCTCCCCAAAGTGCCCATGCCTTCACCCACTGCACCCAGTACAGGCACCCACCCTGTGTGTCACCCCCTCACCAGTGCTACTGCCTTGTGTCCCGTCACCTTGAATTCCCAGAATTCTTGTCACCCGTATCCCTGTTGACCTGTCCCTGTCACCCAGAATCGTCATCACCTGTAACACCTGTCACCCGTGTCCCTGTCCCCCTGAATCTGCCACACATGACCCTGTTGCTTTGTCCCTGTCATCCATGACCCTGCTGCCTTTTCCCTGTCATTTCAATCTGCTGCTGCCTGCAACCCCCCCTCACCTGTGTTCCCATCCCCCTGGACCCCAGTCACCTGCACCCTGTCACCTATCTCTTGCCTTGTCCCTGTCACCCAGAACCCTCGCTCTGTCCCCTGTGTCCCTACTGCTTTATCTGTGTCAACTGAACCCCTTGCTTCTTTGTGTCCCTGTGGCCTTATTCCTGTCACATCTTGTTCCTGTCACCTGTGCCGCTGTCACTCTAAAGCCATCACGCCAGAACCTTTGTCCCCGTCACCTCGAACCCGTCACCCGTGACCCTGTTGCCTTACCCCTGTCACCCGTGACCCTGCCGCCCTCCCTGTCACCTTGAACCCATGCCCTGTCCCCGCACGCCCTTGTCCCCGCGCCTCCAAGCCCCGCCGATCCCCGGTACCCGGTCGGGCAGCGTCCGAAGCTGTCCCCAGACGCTGGTGGCTGCCACCGTCACCCCCAGTTCCTCCCGCGTCTCCCGCAGAGCCGTGGCCACCGCGTCCCCGTCCGCCGGGTCCCGCCGCCCACCGGGGAAGCTGCGGGAGGGATCGGGGGCTGGGGTCAGGGCTGGCCCGGCCCCGGTGCCCGCTCCCCCCGCCGGTACCTGACGTCGCCGCTGTGGGGGCCGGCGAGGCGGCGGGAGCGGAGCGTGAAGAGCAGCGCGGGGCGGCCGCGCACCGAGCACAGCGGCACCAGCACCGCGGCCGCCGCCGCCGCGCCCCCCGCGCCCGCCGCCGCCAGCCGCGCCCGGCACCGCCGCTCGCTGCCGCCGCTCAGCACATCCCCGGCGTCCCCGGCACCGTCGGCACCGCCCGGGCCCGCCATGGCGCCGGCACGGGGCGGGGAGGAGCGGCGAGGGAGGAGGGAGGCGGGGAGGGACCGGCACCGCCCCCCGCACCGAGCCCGTCCCGCCGCGGCCCGTCCGTGCCGAGGGTGAGGCAGCCCTGCCCAGGGTGCGACGGCCTCCTCCGGTGCGGAACGGACCCGGCCGGGTATGAAACCACCGCCGGCTTGGCCATGTCCCGCCTAGTGTGCGACAGCCGCCCCCAGGTGTGTGACCCACGTCCCACCTTCGCGGTGTCCCTGCCAGGTGTGCGAGTCCTGCTCCAGCCCCCACCGGGTGAGCAACAACTCCTGCCAGCTGTGCCACCTACCCTCCAGCTTTGCCACAACCTTCCGGCTCTGCCGGCTGTGCAAGGCCTGCTCCAGCCATGCTATATCCCTCATCACGTGTGCAGCAGCCCCTGCCAGATGTGCAATGACCCCCCCCCCCCCCCCCCCCCGAGTGTCCCTCTTGCTGGTGTGTGACAGCCCCTGCCACCTGTGTGACCCCAGCTCCCCAGCCCCACACACCCCCCGGGTGTGCAAACCTCTGGCCCAGTGTGCAACGCTCACCTCTGTCCCCCCAGGGCCTTGCAAGGGGTCTTCAAGGGGCCCAACAAGCCCTTAACAGGCATCCAACAGCCCCTTCCAGGCATCCAGCAACCCCTTCCAAGCATCCAACAACCCCTTCCAAGCATACGCCCCCCCCACTTCTGACAGCCCCCATGTGCCAGCAAGTGCCTGGGCTTGTCAGGGAATTTCTGCTGTGGAAACAGCTTCAATGGTGTTTGAGGTTGGGAAAAGGCTCCTGGATAAATCAGGGAATGCTGGTGACCGACCAGCCCCACTTCCCAGGAAACCCCAATGGACAGAGACTCTCACACCTGCATCTTGACCTCTCAGCAGGAAATGATTTTTAAAAAACTGTATAGAAATCATCACTCTCCATGATTCTTTGCTTCCAGAGCCCGCCATTGGCTCCACAATCCCACTCCCGTCTCCGGAATCAGCGGAACCTTTGCTCCTCCCACACATATCGCTTCCCTGCTGGAACCTTGCGCAAGAACAGGCTGTTCCCTCGGCTCATGTTGCCCTGGAAAGGGAAAACGACCATGGAGGGGCCACTAAATGTCCAGGGTGGCCTCTCCAAACCCCATGGGGCTCCCACCTGGCTCCTTCTCCATGTCCCTGGTGTCTGGAGCATCCCAGCTCCAGCACTTACCTCCCTGTGCAGCTGGCTCCAGCAATCCAGCCAGGAGGAATAGGTGGGTGCATAGGGAAGGAGACCCCCGGCCAACCTGGGGAAGGGAGGAAAGACCCACCAGGAATTATTCCCACCCGGGAATGACCCATTCCCTCTGTTGCTCCACACTGGGTTGAACCCCAGAACAACCCTCTCCCAATTTAAGCACGGAGGGATCAATACTGTGGAGCACTGGCAGCACCTTTCCACCTGGGAATTTTGGTAAGGTGGTCCCAGGAGCTGATCTGGGGCTGAGGGACGCAGGGGTCAGCGGGAGCAGGGACTCACCCGCAGTTGTTCACGGCCATCAGGTTGGAGACCAGGACGAAGGGGTAGGTCAGCATGCTGGCAAAGAACTGCAGGAAAAACGGGAATCGGTGGGATGCTCCCTCTTCCCTTCACATCGGGAGAACCCCTCAGAGTTTCAACCCAGAGAGGAAGTCCACTCCTGCCACCTCCACAGGGTGACATATGTCCTCCACGGAGCATCCCTTGGCCTATGGGCTAATCCGGCTGATCCCAGCCTGGCAGCCGCACGATTCCAGGAACACACCCCTCCCTAGGGAAAGGATCCACTCCCTACTCCTGGCTGTACTCACCCCAGTGACTGCCTGGGAGTAGCTCTTCATCTCAGTCATGGTGGAGACCTGAGGGAGGAGCAACAGCACCTGAATCCCCCCCCCAAAATGGGATCGTGGCTCCCAGAACATCCCTGGAGCTGCCCCCCATGAGCTCCCAGCACTCGGGATCCCGGAGCAGAGCCTACCCCGTTCTCCAGCGCGTACGTGTTGATGAGGTAGGCCAGCATGTTGCACAGCCACAGGGAGAGGATGTCCCCGAGGAGCCGTGGGATGAGGCCGCTGCAAGGGAACAAACAGTGGGAATGACGGCCCAGGGTTGGGATCCGGCTGCGTGGAGAGCTGGGAACAACTGGTTTGGGGCAGGTTGAGGAGGGAACAGCCATCCCTGGGAGCGGGGATGCTTGGGTGAGTGATTCAGAGCTGCTGGAGGGATTCAAGGTACTCCCAGGAAGGCTTTGGGACCTTCCCACCGCTGCCACCCCTGCCGTGCCCCTCCCTGCCTTCTCGGCACTCACGCGAAGAATCCCAGGATTCCTTCTTCCCGGTAGATTGTGGCGAAGGCGCTTAGTGTCCCGCTGGGATAGGGAGGAAGAGGAAGGATAAAGTCAGGGGGGTGAATCCCTGGCCCCCCAGAGCACCCAGAGCCCCCAGGCCGTACCTGTACTTGGTCTCGCGGCCGATGAACTGCACCATGCAGCGCAGGGTGATCACTGCGGTGACACAGGGGGACACGGGGGTAACAGGAGGCACCTGGCACTGCTCCCCCGGTCCCCTGGGGTGGAGGGACACCTACCGTGGAAGGGGTGGGTGATGAGGGTGGCAGCAGAGCGGGCGACCATCTCCTGGGAGGTCTGGGAACAAAGGGAGCCTCAGCAGGAGGGGACAGGGATGTGACATCCCACTGCCTTCCTCCTGCTGCTCCTCACCTCCTTGAGCACCTGCTCCAGTGAGGACTCCTTCCTCTTGGCTCCAGGCTGGAGGGAGAAGGAACAGTCAGGTGGGAACAGCTGCCTGGAGAGGGGAGGCTGTCCCCAGGGTGGGGGTGGAAGCTCCGGATGCAGGGTTGGGGCTGCCCAAATCCGGGGGCCATGGGGAGGAGGGAGAGAGGGAAGAGAAAGGGGAGGAGGAGGAAAGAACGGAGAGAAAATAGGGAAAAAGAAGGAGGGAAAGCATGGAGAAGGGAAAAAGGGCAGAAGAACAGAATGAAGGAAAGAAGGAAGGAGAGAGAGAAGAGGGGAGAGGAAAGAAAAAGAGAAGGAGAAAAAGGAGAAAGAAATGAGGGAAAGAAGAAAAGAAAGAAAGGATAAGAGAAGACTAGAAGAACAGAGAAATAAAGGGAGAAAGGAGGAGATGGGAAAGGAAGGGAAGGGAAGGATGCATTCCCTGTGGGAAGCACCTCTGCACCCACCTCAGCCTGCTCGGCCTCCTGGTACCGCTGTGGAGCAAAGAGCAGGGTCAGCGCAGGGTCAGCACCGTGCGGGGAGCCAGGGGGCCCCGGTGTCCCCCCGTCCCGGCGGCAGAACCCCCGGTTCCCGCAGCGCCCCGGGCCCGGCGCCCCGCCCGTGCCGGTACCTGCAGCACTTTGCTGTGCACCACGGTGCCGATGGCGCTGGAGCAGAGGCGGGGGGCGAGGCCTTTAAAGAGTCCTGCTCTCCCGTCCACCTTTACGATGTGCTTGGCTGGGGACAGCGGGGACCGTCAGCCCGGGGGGGACCCCACGGCGGCACCGGGACGGCGCCGGGGCGGCCCCACCAAGGCGGACTCACCGTAAGAGAAGAGGCCGGGCAGCTGATACACCTGGCGGCCGAAGATGTTCCTCCCCAGGGTGGGCGGCAGCGGCTCGTAGCCCACCTGCAGCGGGAACCGGCAGGCTGTATCCCCCGCGCGGCCGATACCGGGCCCGGTACCCCCCTCTCAACCCCGCCATTCCCGCCCTTACCTGCACCAGCACCTTCACGTACATGAGCGGCTGCGAGAGCACGGTGAGCCCCGAGCCCAGCAGCACCTGCGAAGCCGCGTCCGCCATGGTGCCGCCCCGGCGTCACGGCACAGAAGGACACGGCCACGGCTGCCGCCGCTTCCGCTTCCGCCTCCCGGTATTTCCGGCGCCGCCGTGACGCGCTTCCGGCCGCTGGGGGGCGCCCTGGGAGTGCAGCGGCTGCCATGGAAACGGCCGGAGGCGCGGCGGGGCTGTTGCCATGGCAACGGGGTCTGGGGCACCCACGGCGCCTGCGGGGACACCATGGTGAGAGGGGGGACAGTGGGGTCACAGGGCTGAGGAGTCACCCGGGTGGCAGAGCTAGCACCAAACATCCTTACAACCCGAGATGACACCATGGTGGCAGGGCTGAGGTGATACCAGGCAATGGAGGGGACATGCTGGTGGCAGGGCCCAAGGTAGCACCACAGGCATAGGCTGACACCATGGTGGTGTCACGGGGTTGGGTGCCAGCAAGATTCTGGCCGAGCTTGGGGACAAGGAGACTCCTGAGGGGACATCAAAATGAAAACAGGCAGCACCAGGCATAGACATGGAGGTGGCAGCACCTTTACTGCCGAGCACAGGCGCAGCAGCGTAAGGTCACCACATGAACAGTGAGGGGACGTGCCCTGTCCCTGGGCCTGTGCCCACCCCGCTGCCAGGATGGCCCCATGGCTGGATCCCGGGAAGAGTCACTGGTGGCAGCACGGTAGCAGGGGCTCAGTGGGGGCTTGCGGTGTGTCACCGCACTTGTGCTGCTGTCCAGCTGATGCCTTCCCATGGTGGCACAGCGGCCATTCCCTGCTTCAGGTGCCGTGGGAAGGGCCACTCCAGAGTCAGCTCCAAGCACTGCTCCTGCGATGGCACGGGGGCCATTCCCTGCTCCAGCTGCCCTGGAATAGGTGACACTGGAGCTGGCTCTGGGCTTCTCTCCCACACTGTCACCTCCACTCTGGACACCAGGAAGAACTGGATGCCTGCGGGTCCCAGCCTGGGGGGCACAGGAGAGGTGTCAGACCCACTTGAGGGGTGGGACAGCACTGGGGACAAATGTCCCTGCAGGACTGTCCCCTGGGGGCCTGGCTGACCTATAGTGGCTCCAGGCTCACCGGGATAGTGGTGCGGCTCCGCTTTGTTTGGCGCAGGACATTCCTTGCTCTCCGTCTCTGCAGCCGCTTCTTCCTGTGTGGCTCCATCTGTGCCAGTGGTAAAGTGGCACTGGGACATCTGCACCCTCTGTTACTGTGTTCCACCCTGGCTCTGCATTCCCTGCCACCTCAAAATCAGTGGCACATGGAGACTCACCTGTTGGCTGGGGCTGTGGAAGTCATCTGGGATCCCGTCAGACACGGAACTGTCAGAGCCACTGGTGCTGCAGGGAGCAAGAACCATCTGTAGCCCCCAGTGGCACCAGGGGATGACATGAGGTGACAGGGGATGACATACCTGGACTCAAGCTCTGAGGGGGACACATCACTCCAGCTGCCTCCAGAGCCTGGCCCACGACCCATCCGCTGCTGCAGCAGTGCATCCGCTTCCACCAGGCACTGCTGGAGCTGCGGGACAGTACCAGTGTCATGGTGTCACCATGGTCCCGTGGCACCAGGAAACCCTGGGCCAGGCCCAAGCCCACCTTGGTAGGTGCAGGGTCGCAGAAGTCGAGCAGGGTGTCACAGAGGAGGCAGCCCAGTGACTCGAGGTCCTCCACGCTAAAGTGGGAGCTTCTCCCAGCTGGAGGAGACAGGGAAAAGGAAACAAGGGCAGCTTCCCAGCCCAGGACCACCCCACTGGAATTGTCCCCGTGGCTGTGGCAGCCCCTCACCCAGTGTGGAGCCACTGAAGGCCACCTCCAGGGTGTAGCTGTGGGAGACGCCCAGGCGCCACATGGAGACCCGGCCTGTCCCCTCTTTGCTCTTCTGCACCTGGAACTTGCAGCTGGAGAAGGAGAACTGGAGGCCCCCAGGGTCAGAGCAGTCTCAGCCACACAGGGACAACTTGGGAAGCAGCACATGGGCTGCATTCCCACTGCCACCACAACATGTGGCTCTGAGGCATCTGTGTCCCACCTTGTCAGGGGCGTTTTTGCTCAGCATTAGGGGGAACACTCGCTGGCGCAGCCGTGTCCCTGTACCATCCCCGCCGCCATCGCAGCCATACATGAACACGTTGTTCTTCCTGCTGTGCCCATGGAAGTCGCAGTACAGCACCACCTCCCGCTCTGCCAGCTCCCTGCACACATCGGGATATGGCCACCAGCACCGCCACAGGAGTGGCCCTGTGCCACCAGCTCCCCACGCCCACCTCACCTCTGGACCATGGCCCGCAGGTGCCACACGCCGGGGAAGGAGCCGGGAAGCGCCTTCCCATAGGCCCTGTTGGGATCCCGTCCTGCCAGGGAGCAGCGGGAGTTGCCCACCACCACCCCATCGGGGTTGAGCATCGGCACCACTTTGAAGACGAAGAGGCGGCGCAGGAGCTGCGCATCCTCGTGGGGGCTCAGCAGGAAATCCAGGAATCCCTGCATGGCCCAGGAGCCGCCACTCTCACCAGGGTGCACGCGGGCGCTCAGCACCACTGCCCGCTTGCCGGCCGTGCCACCCGGGCCGGTGATGGTCAGCAGGGGCACGGTGTTGCCAGCCAGGCTGTGGCACAGTGCCCGCACCGTGCAGTACCGTGAGCGCGCCGGGTCGGCCGCCAGCGCGCGCAGGTAGCGCCCCAGATCCGAATAGGTGTAGGGGTAGCCGGCGGCAAAGAAGCAGGTGTCACCATCATGGGGGAAGCGCATAGTCCAGCTGAGCCGGAACAGCGGTGGCTCCCCTGCGCTGCCACGGTAATAGCAGACATCGGTCCCGACCCGGCGCCAGCCTATGCCACAGCTCTGGGCATCCTGCTGGGAATAGAACAGCGGCCGCAAGCCCTGGCCATAGAGGCTCTTGGGCTTGGCCATGTTGGCAATGGTGAAGCGGTAGAGCGGCTCCTGCCGCGTGTTTTGGACACGGAAGTAGAACCACTGTGTGTGTTTGGCCGTGTACAGGTCTGGCCGCAGCATCAGCACGTACTCGTAGGGACCCCTGTGTGGAGGGAAGGGCAGCGCTCCAGCTCCAGCCTGACACCAGAGGCCCCATGGCCCCCTGCCCTCTCTCTTACACCTTGATGGCCTTCTGGAGGTTCCCACTCTCAAAGCGGGACTCAAAGAGCAGCGTGGTGTCCTGGGGACCCTCCAAGGGGGCTGCTGGCGAGGAGAGTGGCCCCGGGGCTCCTCCAACCCGAGCACGAGTAAAGCAGGAGCCTTGGAGCACTGTGGGGGGAGCAGGGACAGTGGTGGGGGTCTGGGGAGGGCAGAGGCACTCAGGGGTGCTGCCTGTGCTCCCTTACCTGGGCTGGAGTGGTAGACAATAGTGCCCTGCTCCTCACCAAGGGTGCACAGGGCCTGCTCCTGGCCCATGGGTGGGCAGAAGGGCTCTGGTTTGGGGGGGACCCACTCTGGGAGAGGGGGGGGACACAGAGAAAAATGCCATACACACAATAGGGGTCTGGCACAGGGGTGAGGCAGGGGACAGCTGGAGCATCCCCTCACCGATGTGCTCAATTGTCTCTGGGATGACTTCACACTCCACAGGCCAGCGAGGAGCAGGGAGGGAGAACAGAGCCTGTGGTTCTCCTGGAGACCTCCAGGGCTGCCTTAAGGGGGCCAGTCTGCCCTGGTGGGGCGTCTGCACCACCCTGGGGTCTGCAAGAGCACCAGGAAAGGCTGGGGGCCTCCATTGTGGTTGGGGTAGGGGCACCCCACAAAACCAAGGCAGGGACAGGGAGAAGCCCTCCCTCCACACTTGCTGTGCTAGGAGGACGCTGTGCTCAGGGGGCTGTGAGGGGATGCAGGGTCTCACTCACGGTTTGGCTCGCGCCCAGGACCTCGTTGCCAGCCAGGGTCGGTGTTGCCCATGGTGGAGGCCTTGGGATGCTGCCCGGAGGGTTCCCCCGGGGACATGGCAGTCTCTTCCCTGCCTGTCTTCTCATCTTGGGGAGAACAGCGCTGCAGCCAGGGGGCAGGAGGGGACACAGCCCAGGGACAGGAGGGCACAGCGGCCAGGGCTCACCTCGGAAGTAGCCATAGAAGCGCAGGTGGGTGCGGATGAAGCTGTCATAGGGCTTCAGGAGCTGTCCTCCCCTGAACCCCCGCAGAGCTCCCTCCCTTCCCTGGGCAGCGCAGCGCCCTGCGGGCTCCATGGCTGTGAGAGCCCCGGAACAGCAGAGGCAGCGTCAGGGCTGGGCTAGCACCCGGTTGCTGAGCTACAGGGAGGAATGGGGCAGTCCTGGAGCAGAGCTGGGCAAGGAGCCAGAGGGATTTCGCAGTCATTAAAGTTGGAAAAGACCTCGAGGATTATTAAGCCCAACCTGCGACCAATCCCCACCTCAACACCCAGACCAGAGCACTGAGGTGTTCATGTCATTCCTTGTCATTCCATGTCCAGTCATTCCTCGGATACTGCCAGGGCTAGGGACTCAATCACACTTTTGAGCAGCCCCTTTGATGCCTGACACCACTTTCTATGAAGAAATTCCTCCTCTCATCCAACCTCAACTTCTCCTGGCAGAGCTTGAGGCTGTTTTCTCTTGTCCCGTCCCTTGTAGCAGAGCCTGACGCATCCCCTGGCTGTATCCTTCTCTCAGGGAGTTGTGGAGAGCCAGAGGGTCGCACCAAGCCTCCTTCACTCCAGGCTGAGGACCCCCAGCTCCTCCTGGTGCTCCATACCCTTCCTCTGCTCCATTCCCTTCTTTGGACAGCCCCTCTTACCACGAGGGCTCCAGATTTGTCCCCAGGTAGAGTGGAGGCCACCTCCACTGCTGGAGGTAGCCCAGCAGTGTCAGAACAGGGGATGGGCCCGTGGCCACACCAATGCTGGGACAGCCCAGGTGCCATCAGCCTCTTGTCCACCTGGGCTCCTGTTCAGCTGCTCTCACCAGCACACCCAGGGCCTTTCCCAGCTTTCCAGCCTCTCTTGCCCCAGCCTGGAGCATTCAACAGGGTTTGTGTGACCCAAGTGTAGGACCTGGCACTTGACCTTTACCCTCAGCCCTTCAATCCAGCCTGTCCAGTTTCCTCTGCAGAGCCTTCCTGCCTCCACAACCCACACACCCACCCAACTTGTAATAATGGATTACAGGGGGCTGTTGTGCTCCCCATCCCCATCTACCACCTGCCCTCAGCAGAATCAGTGAGATGGCACTTCCCAAACTGCTACAATTTATTGGACAATGGTCAAAGGAACTGTACATCTGTAAAAAAAACCAAAACAAAAAAACCCCAAGAGGTGGGCACGGCACTGCACGCCTCATGTGCTCGAGGCTGTTTTCCTCCGCTTCAGCCGTGACCGCCAGTCCTCTGGCAGTGCCTCGAAGTTGGCATTTCTCTCGGCCATGCCACTGCAGGGATAAAGCAGAATGTCAGCACCCAGCTGGCCCTCTCATGGACCCCCTCTTTTACAAGGGACCAGGAAATGTCCTGGTGCCAGCCCCCGGGCTCTGTACCTCATCAGCTGCTGCTGCTTCCACTCCTCGATGCGCCGCTGGGCTGTGGTCTCCCGGTCCTCCTCGCTGGAGCTGGAATTCTCCTCCTCATCCAGCTCCCGCTGGATACTTTGCCACTTCTTCACTAGCGATGGCATCTTTGTCTTGCCCTTCTTGCCCTGTGCCACAAAAATAACAGTGGTGAGTGTGGCTGGAAAGGAAGGAGGGAAGGAACAGTGTCAGTGTGAGACCTTCTGGCCTACCTTGTCCTTGCGCCCCTTCCTCGGCTTCTCCTTCTCCGGAGGCGGCGGCGCCTTGGGGGTGGGCGGTGGGGGTGTCTGTGGGGGTGGCGGGGGCGGTGGCTGCTCGGCTGCAGTGCCCGTGGCTGGCAGGGCTCCCCGAGCTGGCACCGGCTGCGTGGTGGCCGTGGTGGCCGGGCTGACGGGCACGGCGCACTCCGAGTATCCCATCATGGAAGGCGCGGCAGGTCCCGCCACACCCAGGTAGCTGGACTGCAGCCCCAGCGCCGTGGGCTGAGGGCCAGCGTGGCCCGGAGCCATGCGGAGGTTGGGCCGTCCCTGGATCTCGCTCTGGAGGCGCTGGCGTGGCCTTAGGGAGGCCAGGGGCACGGCTGATGGCTGGTACTTGCCCGTGGCCATCAGGGGCTGGCTGTAGATGACGGGGCAGCTGCCAATGGTGGCCGTGCGCTGCATCAGCCCTGGGCTCATCTCCACTGCTTTCCTCTTTTGTGGCTTGGCCGAGAGCAGCGGGGCTGGGCTCGGTTCGACGGTGGCCTGGAAGAGAGTGCTGAGGTGAGTGTGGAGCCAGGAGCACCATTACACACCCATTTCCCAGAGTCTCACACTCTGGAATCAGTGGAGCCCTGGCTCCAGTGCTCACCTGGCTGCTGCTGGCAGCAGGGCGCACTAGGGACTTCAGGGGAGCATCTTCCTCTGTTCCTGGGGCTGGTGGCTCCTCACCCCCCTCATCTTCCATCTCCACTTCCTGGATCTCCCCATCTTCTCCAGGTGGTGGGGGTGGCGGTGGAGGTGGCGGGGGCGAGTCTGGGGGGGGTGGAGGCGGTGGAGGCATTTCCAAAGGCAAGGGAGGTTGGAGGACTGGGACAGAGGACTGAAGCAGAGTCCAAAATGGAGTGAGCGGCATGAGAGACGTAGCAGGAACTTGGCCTGAGAAGGATTCCTTACAAAGGGAGCCTGAAGAACAGACATTGACACAGGCTTGAATGCATGGCCTACAGTCTGTACCACCTGCTCTTGCCCACGGTCCCGCTTGGAGGCACCACCACTGTGGACTGCCCTGTCCCCACCCCGCGCTCTGGGGCCAGGACCTTCCCGCCAGCGAGGCGTACCTGCGGGGCGCTCGGCGGGCCCCTCGGCGTGCTCTCCTTTGTCTTTGGGAGGTGGCTTTGGAGGACTGTCGGGTTTTCTGTCGGCGGCACCTTGCTGTCCCTCCTCTTCGTCCTCCCCATCGGGGAACTCCCACTGCGACTCTCCCGAGCGCTCGTTAACATAGAAATAGCGTCTATGCTCCCTAGATCACAAGAAAGAGAAGGAGGCTTCAGCTTCCCTTCTCCGCCCCCGACACTCCAAGGCGGGCCTGCCCACGACAGCAGTGCGCTCTCGCAGGGGAGACCCTCGTGCAGCAGGGCTGCCGCTCTCCCACACACAACAAACAACTTTGAGGACAGAGGCAGGAGAGGCCCGAGCCGACTCGCTCAAAGCTATTTGCTATCGCTGGCTGCGGGAACGTCGCCCTGAGCCCCCCCGCTCCGAGGGAGAGGAGGGCCGGAACGCTGGCAACGTCTCGCTAACATTGGGACTTTCAGCACGGCCTTGGCTGAAAGTCGCCCTCCGAGAAGAGGCACAGGGGAACAGCCCAATGGAGGGAAGCGGCTGCCCCCCTACCCCATGGTGCGCAGAGTTTTTTATGATACTCTTGGTGTCAAACACACAGTGAATGCTAGAGAGAGGGAGCGGATCTGGGAGCTGAAAAACAAAAGAGCAAAGATTTCAAACAAAGGAAAATTAATCAAGAAAGCCAAATAGACAAAGAAATGTTTGGGTCTGACCTGCTGGCAGGAGACAGAAATCTTGTTCTTCATTCCGTCGGTGAGTTGAAGTTTGTCCTTTGGAAGAGCTGTTGGTCAGAAGAGTTGATCCAGAGATCCTGCAAAGTTCACAGAGCTCTCGCATGCGCGACCCCCCAGGCCCGCCCTCCACAGCGCTGGACACTCGCGAGAGGCACAACCAGCTCTGTCCGTCAGGGAATCAGCTCCGTCGCAAAGCACTGGGCACTCCGTTTGGATCCTCCAGTTTGGTGGCTGGCCCAAACTCTGCGAGTGCCGGACGTTTCTCTGCCTGCCCAGCACTAACAGAAGCCGCTCTCAGTCTGCCAGAGGGACGGCGCCAGCGTCGTCGGGTGGTTGATGGTCACAAATCATGTCTGAGATGTCAGAGATGAAAGGTGAGAAAGGAGGAGAGCGCGTACCTGTCCCAGTGGCAGGACCAGCCTTTAGGGGTGGCGTTTATTTCGTATTGTTTAAGCTGTTCGGCTGCGTCTTGGAGTTTGCGTTTGAGGTAGTTTCCATTGAGAGCACCTTCTCGCCAGTCTGCAATGCGGGTCTAGAGGGCAAGAACCGGGGGAAGCCGGTGAGGTGGGCTGCCAGGGGCCCTGGGGGGGACAGGACTCGAGGATCGGGAGGCTCCCTTCCGGCATGGGACGCGGGGGGCCAGGAGGAGGAGACCCCGCCTCCGCGCCAAGCCGCGCTCTCCCCCCGCCGAGGAAGGGAAGGCGCCACGAGGCTCACGCAGCACCGGCGCTCGGACGGACGGCGGATTGCATCCGATCCGCTCCGGAACACGAGGCCGGAGCGAGGGGCGAAGGCTCGGTTACCTCTGTCTGCAACAGCAACATGTGGAAGTTGGAGATAGATTGTCTGTTGATGCCCAGGAACTCCAATTTACTAGTCAGAGTATTTGCCAGCTCTCCAATCTGAAACTGCCAGGAAAAAGGGCAGAGTCAAGAGCTGTTCTCTGGGAGCAGCATCGGGCAGCTACGGCCCCGCGGCTCTCGGGACCACCCACAGCCCCTCAGCCTGGAGACCGGGACGTGCCACCCGGGCCCTGTGTGCCTGTCACCCCCTCTGTTAAGTCCTGCTACATCCTGCACCCCAGGGACAGGCAGTGTGGGTGGCTGGGTGACAGCTCCTCCACGGACTGCGCTCGACTCTGTGCGGAAGGACAGCATGGGCTCCGGTAGCTCCGGTACTTTGGAGTTACAGCAGAACCATCGCCATAGCAGATACCTAAGAATGCTTCCCAAATAAATGGGCCAGGATGTCATTCCAGGTTCTGTAAATAATTCCTTTCCAGAGGAAAGCACCAGAAAGGGACAACAGCTCTGGATTTACCCCAGAGCAGAGGCAGCAGCTACATCAAAATTCAGGTCAGCTCATGGCGACCACGGCTACTCAAACCCAGCATCCCATGGAGTGAAACCTCCAATCTGGGGACATGGGGATCCTGACTCCATCCCCCTGACTGGAGGCACTGCATGGAAGCAGCCACAAGCCAGAAGGGAATCCAGAACAGGAATGTCTGCGAGTGGCATCACCACTGCTTTAAGGAGGGTTTTAAAAATATCTATTTTTAACTTCACTCCTCCGAAGAGGCTTTGGAATGTCCACCAAAGCCACCAAGGAAGCATCTGTCTCCAGAGGTGATAGGCCAGACAAGCAAGCCCTAGAGAAGACCAAGGCAGGCATATGAATTCCCATGTTATTGTGTCTCTGGAGAAGCCAGGGAACATCCTGGAGCAGAGGGTGACTTGGGAGCGGTGGCCCCGGCGCAGCTCCTGTAACCAGAGAGATCCCAACCCGATGAGCAAATGGTACTGGTTACCCAGGGAGCTGGCATTCCTCCAACAGCTCTAAGGGAATCCTGCATGGAAAAGCACCACACGGTCTGTCACAGCACCCACTGGGACGAGAAGGAGGAGGGGACTGCAGAGGGGACCAGCAAGTCCAGCCCTGCTACAGGCTTTTATTTCTTTTTATTTAAATAAATTAATTTAAAAATCAGGTCTCAAATGGATACTGCACTGAGGAAGGCTCAGTTTTGGTCTGGGAATGTTACATCTCAAAATCCTTTAAGGAGTTGTTTTACGGGGGAGATAGGAGATTTTTCACAAGGACAAAAGGACCTTCCCTTTCACACCAGAAAAATTATTTAAGTAGTGGGAAATGAGGACAGGGATAGGCAACTCTCACTGCAGGTTCCACCTGGGCTCCACTATGAGCCGGCGATTCCCCATCTGCCACAGGGAGGTGACAACACTTCCAACGTCACAGAATAACTCCAGAGCCAAATTTTATGCTGGAGATCTTAGGTAACAAGTGGCATGGGGACTAAAGGACAAACAGGAAAGATGTCTCCTACTGCTCTGTCATACTGCCCTAGAGCCAGGAGCTCTGCTATAGATCAGGGA